GAAGGCAGGATACACCCTGGACAGGTCGCCAGTCCATCGCAGGGCAGACAGACAGACATACACATTCACACACACACACACACACCTAGGGGCAATGATTATGATAATATATATATAAGATTATATATATTATATATATAAGATTATGATAATATATATATATATAATATATATATATATATATATATATATATATATATATATATGGAGCATTTTGGAATGGAATATGGATTGGAGTGAAGTACATGGATTACTTTGCTTTCACAACTTTTTTTTTAATATCATCAAATAAAAACATCTAGTTTACCACATTTCCATCAGAAATTTCATGCATATTATGAAGTGGTTATGCATTTTATCTTGGGCTGTGCTCACTTTACCTAAATCTCCACTTCAGTCGAAAAACAAATAAAGAATAGAATTGTATATACATTTTTCCCTAGCCTAAAAATAAACGTATTAATATCATTGGCAGGTGCAGATTTAGTGATTTGGGGCCTCCACCTGAGGCATATTTTTAAAAATCTGCATCTACCCTGGAAAAAATTACACCTTGGCAAGTGAACTCAAATTAAGTTTAGTTGATATATATTATATTTCTCATTTTGCGATTGTTGTAGGAATATGATGAGATTATTTAACTCATTTCTAGTCTGTTTTACTTGGATAATTTAATTAAGTGACATTATATCACTAGTTATTTTGCTTGTCTTAATCTACCAACATTGTAGATTTATTTAATCCAGCAATGCAAGCATTAATCCAAAATTGTAGGTGTTAATCCAATGTTGCAACTGTTAATCCAGCACTGTAGGTGTTTATTCAGCACTGTACATGTTAAAACTAACACTGTGTGTGTTAATCCAACACTGTGTTTATTCAACACTGCAAGTTTTAAAAGTATCACTGTAGGTGTTAATCCAACACTGTAAGTGTTAACTCAAACCTGTATTAATGAATCCTATACTGTTGGTGTTAATCCGACACTGTAGGCATAATTAAAGACTGTAAGTGTTAATCCAGCATCGCAAACACTAATCCAACACTGTGGGCATTAATCCAACACTGTATGTGTTAATCCAATGTTATAACTGTTAATCCAGTATTGTAAGTGTTTATCCAGCACTGTACGTGTTAAAACTAACACTGTATGTGTTAATCCAACACTGTGTTTATTCAACACTGCAAGTGTTAAAAGTAACACTGTAGGTGTTAATCCAACACTGTAGGCATAATTGAGGACTGTAGCTGTTAATCCAGCATTGCAAAAACTAATCCAACACTGGGGGCATTACTCCAACACTGTAGGTGTTAATCCAATGTTATAACTGTTAATCCAGCACTGTAGGGGTTTATTCAACACTGTACGTGTTAATAGTAACCCTGTTAATCCAACATTGCAACAAAAAACTTTAAGACTGTAAAAAAAATACATTTTGGTGAGTAAACTCATCTTAAATTTAGTTGTTCTAGCTAATATTTCTAATTTTGAGATTGTTGTAGGAATTTTAAGATTATGTAACTCCTTTCTAGACATGTTTTACTTGGGTAATTTTATTAAGTGACATAATCTCAGTAATCATTTTACTTGTTTTAATAAACAGTTCTTGAAACAAGCCAGATTATCTGCCAATATGGTGATAAGTGAGGTAATTTGGTACAGCGTAATGTAGAAGTAATGAGTAATATGACTACCTTTCCATGATATAGCAGGTAACATAATCCCAGTACATTCTGAGAGAAGAGCTCAGTCGCTTGAATGGATTATGTTTTTGTGAGTAACTACCCCGACACTGGAGCTATCTGCACTAACATGCCTGTGCAGAGCTCTGCTCTGACGGAATAAAACAATGCTTTTCTCTCTTTTTGCACTTCTCTGCTTCACTTGGTTGACTTCAATTGATTTTCCCTCTCAGCACCCAGAAACTCACAGTAAACAACCTCTTTCTAAAGTGCAGATGATCACTTAAATGCTCGTTCATAGCCGTCTGGCTTTAAGCAGCTGTGTCATCATGTAACAGCATGGAATAGTCCATTATAACCATGACCGGAGGGTGGGGCTGCTCTGAAATTACTGAAACATTCGCTACAATTGCAGATATTAAACCAGGTTTTTCTAAAATGTAAACGTATTTTAGAATAGGGTTTGTTTAACATCAACATGTAGAGTACATCTAATTTCGTCATGGTGTTCTTGGCTCATGTGCGTCCTGGGCGGCCATCCAACTTTGCCTAGTGCAAAGGCCGCCCTGATCGTTGCTGTCACATGAAAATCTTTTAAATCCTCGTACATTAATGTACAGTTATAGTTTTTAAAGGAGGTTTTGTTGCAGTCGCGATATAAATATCCATCTCCCCACAGGGGTACATTTGCAAAATTTCAAATATTGACAACATTTCAAATATTGACAAAAAACAAAGTTTTGTTGATTTCTATAGAATATTACTGATTCTATTTCTTTTTCATTGCCTACAAAGTGTACAAAACAAGAACAACTAGGAGAAAAACGAACACTAAGTTGAGTTTAAGGTCATTTGGAGGGTGAAGGAAGCTGTGTGTGGTGTCAGATTCCAGACACTCGTCAAGCAGGTAAATCTACACTCATCTGTCCAACTTTTTCCTAAAACTCAAATCTTTTTTTTTTTTACAGTCCAAGCCTCACAAATCAAACTATGCACACACACTCAAGCACACGTAGGAGCCTTAAAGGGAAGAGGCTGACAGATGTCTATTTTTATATTACAAGAGGAAATCTAATCAGGTTTAACTGAATAACCGCTGTAGCGTCACTGCTAAAAACTACAGGCCTACAGTGACCTTTAATCTGATTTCCACTCCTCACTGCATGGGTTCTAACTATTACAATCACTCTGAGTGTTCTCCTCGGGTTTACAGCTGTAAATCTCTCAAAGAACACTTGAATAAACTGAAAACTGCAACCAAGTAGGCTGATAATATGTATTTATATCCTATAAACTGCAAATGGATTCAGGAAAATCTATGATTAAATGTTAATCTAACATTTACCAATTCGTTAATCCGTCACTGCAAGCATGTAGATGTTACTCCAACACTGTACATTTTATTTCAACATTGTAGCTATTTGTTAATCCAACACTACAGATGTTAATCCAACATAGCACTGCAGGTACTACTGTAACCCTGCGTTTGTTAATCTGACACTGTAGAGGTTAATACAATGTAAATGTTAATCCAACGCTCAATCCAATCCAAAACTTGTAAGCATTACTGTAGGCTTCAATCCCAAAAGTACAAGCATTATCTAGAACTGTGTTATTCCAACATTGTAGATTTATTAAATCCAACACTACAAGCATTAATCCAACACTGTGGACGTTAATCCAATATTGTAACTGTTAACCCAGCACTGTAGGTGTATCTTCAGCACTGTATGGTGTTAATTCAAAACTGTATTTTTTAATCCAATACTGTTGGTGTTAATACAGCACTGCAGACCTACCTCTATAAATAGAACATAGAATGCCTTCTATAAATGACTATAGGTGTTACTCCAACATTGCAAATGCTAAGCCAACACCGTAGGCATTAATCCAACACTGTAAGCATTATTCTAATATTATAACTGTTAATTCAGCACTGTAGGTGTTTATTCAACACTGTAAGTGTTAAAACTAACACCGCTTTAATCCAATACAGCAAATCCTATTTCAACACTAATACAACACTGTGGGCATTAATCCAACACTGTAACTGTTAATCCAGCACTGTAGGTCTATATTCAACACTAAAGTGTTAAAACTCACACTGTAGGTGTTAAACCAACACCATTTGTTAATTTAACATTATATTTTTTAACCCATTACTGTTGGTGTTAATCCAACACTGCAGGTGTAATTCAAGACTGTATGTGTTAATCCAACATTGCAAATGATAATCCAACACTGCAGGCATTAATCCAACACTGTAGCCGTTAATCCAATTTTGTAACTGTTCATCTAGCATTGTAAGTGTTTATTCAAGACTAAGTACTAAAACTGACACTGTATGTGTTAATCCAACATTATAAGTGTTAATTTAACATTGTATTTATTAATCCATTACTGCTGGTTTTATTCCAACACTGTATGTGTTAATCCAATGATGTAACTGTTAATCCAGCACTGTAGGTGTTTATTTAGCACTGTTAGTGTATAAGTAACACCGTAAGTGTTAATTCAACTCTATATGTGTTAAACCAATACTGTTGGTTTTAATCCAACACTGCAGGCGTAATTCAAGAGTGTAAGTGTTAATCCAACATTGTAAACGCTAATCCAACACTGTGGGCATTAATCCAACACTGTAGACGGTAATCCAAGACTGTATATGTTACCCCAAGACCGTATGTAATAATCCAACACTGTATGTGTATGTATTAATACATCACTGTAGAAGTTCATTCAGCTTTGCAGTTGTTTTAATTCAGTAGTGTAGCCAACATAAATCAGAAATAATAACACATTTATCTTCCATACAGTGACATATTAGGGAGGGTCTCTGAGCTAGCTGAGAGTTTTCTCTCTGTGATGGTGGTGGGAGGGGAGGTGAAACGTGATTCTGATGCACAGTGATGTAATAAAAAATCAGGAGACGTTTTAGAGATCAGGCAAAAGACAGCACATTTTGATTGATTATGAGCATTTTTTTTTTTTTTATAAATAAAAAAAAATAATAAATAAATAGTGTGATATGATGAATTGTCTTAAATAAGACCAGAAACGGTAAAAAAGTACTAAGTATAAAAAGTATTAAGTATATTTCGTTTTCAGTGTTTCTCTGTGTTGCTGCTCTGCGCGCGTCTCCTGCAGCAGTGTGCATGATGAATGGCCTCATCTCAGCTGATACTGATCTCCAAAAGCTGAAGCCAGTCTGTCCTGTCACTCTCCCGCGCGCGCACGTCTCCTCGGACCTCACGTGACGTCAGCAAAGCAAAGGGGGGAGGTGGGGTGTGTGTGTGTGTGGGGGGGGGTGCTGTTGAGAGAACTGCTCTCGTGCTGGGAGCTGCCTGTTCACTCTCAGCTGCGCTACGGTGCACGCGCTGCTCCGCTCTGCCGCGCGCGCGCGCAACAATTAGACGCGTAAACTCAGTTGAGCTTCAGCCGCGTGTTGGATTACTATGAGTCTGCTGTGAATCCGGGACTTTTCCTCACTGCCTGCGCTTTGGAGGGGGACGATGAGCGCGAGGGTCCACGGCACACGCGGTCTTCAGGTACGTGCGCTTGTTTGTACACAGAAGTGAGCTCGTGCGGTGCTCTGTGAGGGGGGTTGACCACCAGCCATTGGAGGTCAGTCAGTGAGTGATTCTGTGAATGTTTGTTGGCGCGTGTACAGTAGACTGGGGGGGCATGGAGTCCAGTGGAGGGTCGGACCACAGCAAGTGGCCAAAGACTGTCTAAAAGTTATTTACCTGTGAGAGCGCGTGAGTCATCGATCTGTGCGGCAGCGCACGCGCTTAGTCTTTCTATATTTGCCTTACTGTGATTTTATTGTTATTGTACCCCCTGTTATTCACCTCATATTATAGTCTCAGTAACTAGAAGGCAATAATAATAATAATAATAATAATAATAATGACTCATGGTAAAATTTACTTTAAATCAGTAAAACAAAATCTTTACATTATACTACACTCTTAAAAAAGATGGTTCTTCAAGGGTTCTTTAGTAAAGAAAATGGTTCTTTATGGAATCATGAACACTCAAAGAACATCAGAGCATGATTAAAGCGTTCTTTGCATGGTGAAATGGTTCTTTAGATTGATGGAGAATGTGCTGTAGATGGTACTTTATAGAACCTTTTTGAGAAGGGTTCTACACTCTCAAAAATTAGGGTTTTTCAAGAGTTTGTTACTAAAGAAAATGGTTCTACATAGAACCATGAACACTCAAGGAACCTGATGCACAATTAAAGGGTTCTTTGCATGGTGAAAGGTTCTTCCAGTTGATAGAGAATGTGCTGTATATGGTTCTGAATAGTACAATTTTTGTAAAAGATTCTACACACTTGAAAAAGATGGTCCTTCAAGGGTTCTTTAGTAAAGAAAATGGTTCTATATAGAACCATGAGTACTCAAAGAACCCTTTGCATGATTAAAGTTTTGTTTTTGCAACAAGCCTGACATTGTAACAATAGAAGAACCCTTTTTGGTGCTACATGGAACCCTTTTTGAAAAAAGCACATTAGCCTGAACAACGCTTTCATGATGCAACGAACCCTTCAATCACGGAAAGGGCTCCTTGAATGTTTATGGTTCTCTATAGAACCATTTTCTTTACTAAAGAAGTCATTTTTGAGTGTGTATATAGCACAAAAAGGGTTCTGCCATTGTTTCGATGTCAAGATTGTAACTGTAGGAGAACTCTTTTTGATGCTATCTAGAACCTTTATCAAAAAGGTTTTATATACAGAACCATATAAAACACTTTCTCCATCTGAAGAACCATTTCACCACGCAAAGAAGCTTTTAATCATGCAAAGGCTTCTCTAAGTGTTTATGGTTCTATATAGAACCATTTTGTTTCACTAAAGAACCCTTGAAGAATCATCTCTTTGAGAGCGCACCTATTTATTATATTATATTATATTATATTATATTATATTTTATAAAAACTCAGCTATATGCCATACTGACTTGTTGGACAGACCACTGACCATATAAGAAGGTTCCATAGACTCCTGAGAACCCTGCTGTGGAGCATACATATTTAAATCACGCTTATATTTTTTAATGGACTAATTTTGATCTATGGATGTTATAATTATAGATAATGAGTACATAATCCTGCAGGTTCTGAAGGATCTGTTTAAAAATGTGGTTACCATGGATGAGCTGCACGATGAATAATAGGTCGATAAATAGATGGCAGAGATGTAGCGTAACACTGATGGAAGCCAAGCCAGTGACTGGGCAAAAGTCAGAGACCACCCTTCATTTATTCAGTTTACAAAATATTCATTTTTTAATGTCAGGAAAAAAAGAGGGAAACATGCATTTAGCAGGCAATTGCACTCAACGCCTACATGTAATGTTAAACTTAGACGAATGTGGGCGTGTCCACCCTTTGCCTCTCCTTTCTTTAATGTGACTTGCTGTCAGATCTTCAAAGAAATCTGCAGCAATGTTTTTCCACACCTCTTCGAGGTTGTTTGCTCTTTCTGCTTTTAAATGGGTTAGATTTAGGAAAAAGAACATGACTTTGCCAAATGAATTATCTAACAGAAAAAAAAATAAAAAATAAATCTCTGTTAATCTAACATGTAACAATGTGTCAATCCATCACTGCAAGCATGCAGATGCCAATCCAACACTGTAAATGTTGTATCAACATTGCAGGTGTTTGTTAATCCAACATTAAAGATGTTATTCCAACATGGTAACTGTTGAGTAGGTATTAATGCAACAGTGCATTTCCTAATCTGAAACTGTATGTGTTAATACGACACTGTAACTGTTAGTCTAACACTCTAGGTATTACCGCAACACTGCATTTGTTAATCTGACACGGTAGGTATTAATACAACACTGTAAATGTTAATCTCCCACTGTAGGTATTACTGCAACAATGCATTTTTTAATCTGACACTGTAGGTGTTAATACAACACTGTACATGTTAATCCAACACTGTAGGTGTGACTGCAGCACAGCATTTGTTAACCTGACACTGTAGGTGTTAATACAACACTGTAACTGTTAATCCAACGCTATAGGTATTACTGCAGCACTGCATTTGTTAATCTGACACTGTAGGCTGCAGGTGTTAATACTACACTGTAAATGTTAATCCAACACTGTAGGTATTACTGCAACACTGCATTTGCTAATCTGACACTGTAGGTGTTAATACAACACTGTAGGCATAATCCAAATCTGCAAGCATTAATCTAGAACTGTATGTGTTAATCCAACATTGAACTGTAAGTGTCAGTCCAACATGTCACCATCCAAGTAATCCCAATTACAAATTTAGACTCAGTCCATAAAACCGCACTGCATCTCAGATGTCCAGTTTACTGTTTTCTTTTCTCAGTGAGGTCTTTCGACAGCTACACATCCTTTCAGACTCATAGCGCTGAGTCGTCTTCTCACAGTGGAAGGATGGACAGAAACACCTGTGGGTTTTTTCTGATCTAAACAGTTTAATCCATCATCTCCTGTTGGTCTGAAAATCCTACACACTGCATCCTGAATAGAGTCAAGTCAAGTCAAGAGGCTTTTATTGTCATTCCGTCTATGTACAAGTACACAGTGGAGTGAGATTACGATCCTCCAGCAACAACAAGGTGCAACAAGGAACAAAGAGTACAAAGTGCGAACATGCAGACAGTGTGCAGACAAAAATTAAGCTAGAAACAATACGATAAATACGATAAATTAAACAGACATTAGACACAGTAAACAGACCGGACAGTGCAGCACCGATGCAGCACAGATTTCTGGACATGAGGTAGTGGAATAAGGTGCAGACATATTTATCATTCTGTGATCTGTAAGTTACGTCAGATAACATACATAAACACAGCAGTTAAAATAAATAAAGTTACAAAAAAATAAATATGGTTAAAGTTACAATAAAGCTGTGAGTTCCAGTGCTGATGTTGTGCGCTTGAATCCGGATAGCCAGAGGGAATGCATCAGTTGTGTATTATAGCAGCGTTAGTGCAGGATGAAGCAGTTTTGATTTCAAAGGTCATAAAAAAACAGCGTGGAGAGGTTGTAGCCGAGCGCGCTGCAGAAGCTCTCAGCCATAGAGTGCAGAATGAATTATGACCATTGTAAGATGAGTGTGAAACCGATTCAGGGTGAATAAGTCAAAGGTGCCTGAGGGGAATGGAGCAGTTCTTACAGAGGGTTGATACTAGAACGAGTCAGTTCAGTTCAGTTCCATTCAATTGCAGTCCATTCATTTACATTCCATTCTACTCTATTCATAGTGTTACGTCATTAAGAAGTCCGCATCTCCATGTTAGTAGGCAAGCTGTAACTCTGACTGTGCTCTGTTAGAGCTCATCTCATTATTGATACCGCAGATACAGCCCTGTGGGTGGATAAAAACCAGCCAAATATACCAGAATGACCTCAAAGATGAAAAGATTGGTAGATTGGTGCACTGGATCCATATAACCTACATATCTCCAGTGTTCAGAAAACTAATAAAAGTGGCTAACAAAGCTGTCAAAGCTCCTAAATAATAATCCTGCACATATATATATATATATATATATATATATATATATATATATATATATATATATATATATATATATATATATATATATATATATATCAAGCTAAAGTCAGCTCTTTATTTGGCAGCTTTTCTTTTGAATTTTCTGTTCCACCTTAAATGGTGTTGCAGTTACATTACGCCGAGGTGCCTTAATGAACTTAAAGTTGGCGAATACGAAGCCAACATCAGGTTAGCTCACTAAATGCATTAATTTGCCTCAAAAAATTATCCTTAATCAACAAATACTTCAAACTTTCTCTTGGAGGTGCTAATGAGCAACACAGCAGAGCAGCTGTTGAATGCGTCTCACTGGCTGATCTAACGCCACGTCCCAAACTAACACACTTCTGTACTGGACCTACTACACTAATGAGTGCACTTGGTATATGCACTGCTATTTAGTTTGCTTGTATGAGGTTTGGAATGCAGGAAATCTCAACCATTTAGATTTTAGTTTTCCTTTGCCATCGCTATAGCAACAAATCAGATAAAATCAAGTCAGTACATGCAAATACACTGGTTAATGTGCTTTACAAAATGAAAAGAAGTGTTTAAAATGTGTTTTACTGCCTTTGCTGGATCGGTTACGGCTTTTTTTATCTCATTACACACCACCACAGCACTGCTGAATGAACTTGAATTTGGCTACCAAAATGGTGCCAACGCGACTGTGATATCATCAGAATACTATCAGTTTCATTCTGGTGCCTTCTATTCCATTCTGTTCCATTCCATTCCAGTGTACTCTGTTCCATCATGTTGCATTCCATTCCATTCCGATATACTCTGTTCCATCTTGTTGCACTCCATTCTATTCCATTCCATTTCATTCCATTCTTATGTAGTCTTTTCCATTCTGTTGGATTCCATTTCATTCTGTCCTATTTGAATGTGTCCACCTTATTTTTTTTTTTACAAGAGATAATGGCCAAAATATCTGTTTGGGAAATGGATGTGGTGTTGTTCATCACTGTTTTATCT